TGTCATTTTGATGGAATCCGATATCCAAAAAATTATTTTAAAAAAATGCAGCAAAATATGATTATCAATATTTTTACAGATGTTTTTAAAAGCAAAAATTTTTTTTTTTCTTTGCCAAATTGGTAAACCACTTCAAAGTATTTAAGTATTGTCTACGAAATGTATTTAAGAAATTCTTCATGACGATACAACCCAGTTTCATTTTGATTAGACAGACAATAAAATTTCTTTTGTTTCAATCATTAATTTTGTAGAACAGTGTAAATATCGTGAGTTTAAATCAATAAAATACAATACATAACTCAAATACTTTTTAGAAGGCAGTAAATCAAGAATTGGACACAACGTTTTAGTAACTTAATATTTTTTTATTAATTATTTCCGACAGCTAATCAACTAAATCTTCTGACCACAAAAGTATTAAACTCACATCTTCTTTCCTAGCTGTTACTTTTCCCCTCCTTAATTCAAAAATTTTAAATCCTATTCTCTCAGATTCAAAGTGTGTTTATTAAGAGAAATTTTTCCACTCGTTTTTTTACTTTTTTTTTTAACTCTAATTTACTTGAGCTGAGAGGAGGAAATTTTTAAGAGACATTTTATTACATTTGAGTAAATTTACGTTCACGTTTATATATTAGTAATTAGACGTAAAGATTTCTCCTTGTTTTTTTTATTTTTTGCGCAAACTTCCAACTAAAACCTGTCTTGTAGGATAAAAACGTATTTGCTCAGAGAAAATGTGTTTTCCAACCCCCTCTGCTCTCTTTCACCGTTTTCTTTTTTCATTTCTTTTTTTTTTCTTTTTTTTTTCGTTTAATTCTCTGTATCTAGCGCTTGAAAAACTTAGTGGATGAAAGTTGTAAAATTTTAGTGAATTTGAGGAAATTGTCTTCAAAGTTTAAATGTTGACAATAAGAAATAAAGATTATGCCTCGCCTTTATTAATTTGTCCGCTAGCTTCAATTTAGGGAAGGATCTATGAATCCCTAACATTTATTTAAACTGTTATCGTCATTACTTTCGGATTCTGGGCCTTTTGCGAAAAGCAAAGCTTTTAGAGGTAATATGTCAAATATTCGCTAACAAAAGCACTTGGGGCTTTCTTCCACTCCAAAAGCGTACAGAGGTGGTCTTTAAGTACTTTCTTTGATTAAGTTACCAGCAATGTAACGAATAATCTAAATAAATCAATATTGCATTGTTAAGATCTCCGAAATATCTGATTTAAAATTCAATTAGTAAATCTTAAGCGAACCATAGCGAGGATATCTTATCATTAGGTCAGAAGTGATTTAGGGTGCAACGCTATATCTAGAAGCTTTTTCATATTTGTTCACTATTTAAAAGGTGAGAAATGACCCATAAAATGTACCATTTGACTTTAAATATGGAAAAGTTTATGGAGTTTTCCAGTTTAGACCCATCACAAGCAGAAGATGTATATAGATTTATCCAGTTTTGATATTTTGCATTTCATCCAATAGCTTAATATAGGTCAGACTACATACTTCCGAGTTCTGTCACTTCTTATTTTCTTAACAGAGGTGTCTTTTTTTTTGCTATGCATGGTTGACTACTTTATTCAAATTTAAATATTTAGATCATGATCATGTTATCAAACAATGTTCATTACAGCATTTTTAATGATAGTAGTATTTTATTATTCTGATGATTTAGTTTCATATGATTTTCAAGAGATGAAACAAAAATGTATTGCTTTCATTTTTTGGGGAGTTACTACTTTAATATTAAGTATCAATAAAATAACGGGGTTTGCAATTTTTTTTGCTTTTTTTTTAAAAGTTTAGTTTATCAGACTGGTGTTATATTTTTTTTCTCCAGTTATATTTTTTTACCGGCATTAAACGGCCGACCCTTTTTTCGGTTTGCGCCTATCATTGTCCAACTCCGTAACCTTGTAATTTTGCATCCAACCCTGCATCCAAACTTTAGGACAAACCAGCCTTCGTGGAGGACTTCTCGTTATAACTAACCCGCATTTGCGTTCGAAAACCACGAAAACGTCCCTTGATTAGCCCTATGGCAAGATGATGTTAATCATTGTCTGTCAACCACATGGGATATTTTATGTCAGCACACTGAGCCAGGAGAAAAATTTGAATCAACCAACCATCGCTGGGATTCGAACCTGGGTCGTCTCATTGAGAGACGAGTGCTCGCTTGCTTCCAGTTGTCATAAAAGCACGTTCCGCAGAGTTGAATCGCTGACATATCGAAATTTATAAATACTTTGCCTAGAGCCTCTGTTTTCATACTCAATATGTTTCATTAACAAATAGATGTTGTCACTTGAAAATTTTGAAACGTGTTACTGTAATGTAACCGTGAGAGCTATATTAGCAATTTGTATGCTATTTTTGAGCACATAACTTAAAATAGGTACCTTTATACAAAATGTAATTTCGTTCTCTCAAATAGCATGCTTAAGACAATGCTATACCACGTGATAAACTTATCATCACATTAGCAAATTCTGTTTCGCCTCCATAACTAATTTCAAATTTAAAGTGTAGAAAAATTGAGTTCTGGCTAATCTAGAGAAGGCCATGAAATTTTAATGACTGAAAAAAAAAATTCAAAATATCAAAATGCAAACAAATTATTGGAAGAGGACTTCCCTATTGCCTAATCCTAAGTTATCCTGTCATAATTTGGTTTCATTAGATATTTTGAAAGTTTTTTTTTTACAGATTTTAAAACTTATCAATTACTCTAGTTTTTCCTGAACTGACCTTTTCTATGTTTTAAATTTTAAAATACTTGTGGAGATAAAAGAGAATTAGCGATGAAAAGTTTCTACCGTGGTATAGTGTCCTCTTAACTGACACTAGTAATATCGATAACGATAATTATCGAATATGATATTATCGTGAATGTTGATAAATTTCATTTGGGTAACAATATATATTGACCAATGACAAAATATCTACTTTTTTAATTGAAAAATAAAATCTAGTAATAAATCACTTAATTTGGCTATTTTTGGTGATACATCATGACAATAAAATTTCAATATCACCCATCACTAGTGATGCATAATCATAATTTTCCTATACAAAAAAGCTTTTAACATACATTTTAAAGAAAAAAATAAATAATACTTGCTTGCTTTTAAATAGCACCTAATCATACTTCCTTGAAATGCTGTTTATGGGAAGAAAATGATGTTAAACAAAGAGGAAGAAAGGAGAAGTTAACAAACAATTGATGGTAAAAACTGTTATCCTACGTAGATTAAAAGATTAAATAGCGAGGATCATAAAAAGTTTAACTATTATTAAATTATAGTAATTATTATCCATTATTCTTAATTGGAAAGTTTAAATTACCTTTCAGTTTCTAAATCTTTTTCAATTCAATTTTATGATCAGGTCTTTAACTTTTTTCTCAAACATTGAATGTCTTTATTTAAATCCCTCAATTTATATTTTTTCTTATTTAATAGATGCTTTAATTATTCCTATCCGCCAAAAAAAAAATTGTTGCAATAAATGTCTTCGTAATGCTCAAGTGGTAACTAAATTTAAAAACTTTTCAGTAACTCTGTGTTCCTTTTATATATTTTTTTCTGACGTAAATAATTTAAATTCTAATTACAAGAAAAATATATTTTGTTAGTTTTTAACAATCAAAAAACAGTCTAATAGTTATTAAAAAAATTTGTTAGATTATCGGAATTATATCTGTACAAAAATATAAAATCCAAAAAAACTAATCTGATATTTATTTTTATTCATATTCAAAAATTTATCAATAATCAATTTTGTATTCAAGAAATTTCTATGATGAATAACTGTTTCTCTAAGTGACTCCAAATAAATGCAAGTTCGAAAGAATTTTTTGAAAGTGAATGCGTCACGAAAAAATTCTCAACGATTTCAATCTCAACGAATCAAAAAAGCTCAACGCTTCTACAGAGCGTCTTTCCGGAGTCTGAGTTAACTTTGTATTTGAACAGATACATTTTAGTCAATAAGTGCAGAAATTTCTGATATATATATATATCTTCCTATGTTATTTTCTGAATATCGTTTTATTTTATTTTATTTATCTAATCGAAACATTTTCTCACACTTCTAAATTCACATCCTGTCCTTAAATCTATTTTTGGCTCAACTATGCATTAATTAAAAGAAGGACATTTTTCCCTTTAATCTTCGTGGGAATCACTCGACCTATTTCATAAACCAATAGTAATTACTAAGATTTCTCTCTTTCCCTAAATTGAAATATTTTACGGATTTACTTTGCAAGATTTTCCCTAACATATAATCGAGAAGCACAACTTTTCGTGTACACTTTCATGACTGCTCTGCCAAATAATTAATCTGCCTAAGACCTGTTTTAATCCTTCCACTCGGCAACGACGTTATATANATCTTCAATAATATATATACTATATTCATCATCCATCATGGTTCATCTTGAAACACATGTACAGGTATAAACAAATCATATGAAAAATATTTAAAGTAAAATCATTAATTGGTAATCACTAAGCATCAGAATCTATCATAAATATTTTTTTTTAAAAGTGCATTTCCATTATCAAAATATTTAATATTTTTAAAGAATGGAAACACTTCTGCACTTTCTTTTAACCTAGTTTTTCTAAAAATTGGATGAGGGTTGACTTTTATACCTGGTTTGCAGAAGGAACAGTTATTTACTGTACAATAACTTTTAAATTTATTCTAAAACCAAATAAGCCATTTTTAAGCATATTAGTAATAATTTTGTAAATATTTAATAATTTGTAAAGACATTAGTAATAATAATAATATACTTTAATAGTATCTGAGGAAAAGTTGAGGTATAGCTTGTTTTAATATTTCCAGACTAGGTCTACTCTGTAGTCTTGAAGTGTTATACATTATTTGGGTTTTATTAATGCTCTTGTCTTGTTAATATTCCAGTTTTCATTATGGTGTAAAAATAAATAAAAAAATTGAAAAAGTAACACAAGACGTCAAAGCGAATGTACTCCACAAAAACGTGTTTTATTCATCAAAAAAAAGTATAAAAATACAAAAAATACATTTGTATATGGTAAAAATGTGTATAAAACTTTTACAAAACTGATTCCAATCATATACAATGTAAAAAATGTAGAAACATGCAACTAAAAGGCAGATCCACAATAGACAAATATATTTTTACATATTCCATCTCACAAATACATTTAAAAAATTGCACACAGTGCAGTAACTCATCATCAATTGTCCACTTAGATTAAAAATGCCTAAACCACAAACTACATAATATTTAATTAAAATCACTCTCAAATTTTATATTTTCATTATACATTTCATGACTACATGTTTTTTTATATTAAAAATGGTCGTAACAATAGTTAAAAAAATATTTTAAGATATAAAACTTTTTGTTCTACATAACGCGATTGGAAAAGATTATGGAATATGGTTTGAGTAATAGAGCAAAATTTCACACATTGCTGAAATTTGCAACTTTTTATGTAGCAAATCTTAAACAGTTTATTAGACATAAGAAGAAAAATTATATCTGTTAGTTTCTAACATTTAAAGATAAGACTGCCAATTTTTTCAGTGAACATCTGAGACCAATGATACTTATGTTGCATGTTGTTACAATGATAATTATGTTGCATTAATGGATTCCTAACATCTTCATTAATAGAAACTATTTCTCTCTAAATAGCTAATGGAAACTCACCTCCTATATTAAAAAGATGTATTGTAAAGCATATTTAGAAGGATTTCCAATTACTTCAGCTACTGAAGTCTGAATTTAATCAAACCAGTAACATACATCATTCTACAATAATAGAAGAGACACTTTCAGTTTTTAAAATTTTTATAAATCTCTCGAGAAATACTTAAAGAATAACTTTAGTATTATACTCGTTAAGCAAGAACGTTGTATTTAAGTTATATATTATACTCGTTAAAAAAGTTATCTATAATAAATATTAATTCTAGAATACTTGAGGTGATACTCTCATTAATTAAACCAACGGTTTTCTATTTTAACCTTGAATGCATTAATTTTTATTTATCTTGTTCAGATACTTTCCAAATCAACATTTAGGATTAATATAGATTTTGTAATTCTTTGATATAAATATTGTAATTTAAAATTAAAAAAAAGTATTTCTCTACAGTTATGACTACTCCACCAAACTCCACAGTTATAACTACTCCAGCAAGACAATTAAAAGATTTTTCTTTAAAAAATATGATACTCTCATTAATTAGACTAACGGTTTTCTATTTTAACTTTGAATGCATTAATTGTTATTTATCTTGCTCAGATACTTTCCAAATCAACATTTAGGATTACTATAGATTTTATCATTCTTTGATAGAAATATTGAAATTTAAAATATAAAAAAAAGTATTTCTCTACAGTTATGACTACTCCAGCAAGACAATTAAAAGATTTTTTTTAAAAAAATATTCCTTTTCAAAAATTTAGTTAAGGGCACCGTTTTCAGCATCATCTGGGAGCGCAACGATATCTTCCACCAGCACTGATTAGCAGTACTCCTTGCCGTGTTTAAGTGCTGTTAAACAATATATGAAAGTTGGCTGGATTTTTCTTTCTTTCAATTAATAATTTGAAGTTTTTGAAATCCATTAATGAATTCTTATTTTTAACTCTTTTTAAGTTAACCACTGAAGTGCAGTACAATGAATCGCTAACTTGCAAAGGTTTCACTTTAAATGTATAATTTACAAGATTTTACTAATTGAAATTATAAATAGCCATTGTATAAACTGTTTTGACACTCAATAGACACAAATAATAATGTACATCTTAATTATACCCTGTACTTACATAAAGATCAATTTATACATTTGCTTGTACAACTTTTTTTGCAAGCAATAAATATGAAATAAAAACATTAACTAGCATAAGAAAATTAGCTAGACGAAATATGGCACTTTGAAATTCATGGCCAAAAAATAATAAAACTAAGTTCAAATTAGTACAACAATTAAGTGAGTTTTAACAAGAAATTGTGTGACAATTCAGCATGAATCAACATATGCCATGAGCAAATATGATGAGATGAAAGTTTATATATCTTACAAAGCAGTTTTGCCTCTCAAAAACCATACAATAGTACATTTTTATTTAAATACACAATATCAAACGTAAATAGGAACTAAATTGAACATTTTTGGTTAAAAAAAAAAAAAACTTATTTTAATCTTTGATGCTCAAAATCATTTTACTGAATGATTTTTCTCCTAAATTCAAAGAAACAGAACATTTTTTAGGGAAAATATGAAAAATTTTTAGCATTTTTATTTACATTGTAACAAAAAATACTCAATGATCAATGCAATAACCCTTTTCAACCTTCATTTCCTTATATAAAATTTGTACTTATCTGTATAGCTCGGTTGCTAATAACAATATTGATGATAGGTGATAACATTTAACTGGAAAAGCCAGTTATCTTAAGAAAAAATCTGGTATTGATGTTAATGCAACTTCTCTTACAACAAATGGAAAATTAATTAACTTTTTCTCAATACATATTCGGGTTAGAAATCACATTTTTCACTTAATGATCACAGAAAGGAGTGTCTACCTAGATAATAGTTATACACATTAAATTTTTAGTAGATATTAACTGTTATTTTTACTAAATCAAACTAAAAGTTTGTTGTAAATCACTGATGATCTTATCAGTATAAATCTTTATCTTATCATGTAAAGACAGTTCAAAAGACACTTGCCAAATATTTTGTACCCTCTAAGAACAAAGACGCGATCAAAATTTAAAGAGGCAAATAGTCTGCATCAGTGCTTTAACAGACTTTTAAAAAAGGTTAGTTTTTAACTTTAATGTAAAATAAGCAAAAATAAATTGATTGATTTGATAATAAGATGTTAGCAATACTAAATTGGTTTAAATAATTGGCTAATACTAAATTGGTTTAAATGGAAGAGTTTAAATAAGTATTTAAAGGTATACAGTAAATACTGTGGATAATTTCAATATAAATACATAGTTTGTACAATGGACACTATATATGATGAACATTAAAAAATAATTATGAAAAACGATTTTGATGATAAAATAAAAAAATTTATGAAGACAGTTCTTAAAAAATTTGCAGAGGAATGAAAATAATTATGTTATAAGAGTAAGAGTAAAGCAGACATCAGTATATTTTAGAGGTACATAGCATCAGCATTGATCATGTTATCACATATGATTGAACATTGTTATGAATAGTGCAGAGAAAACTTTTTAAAGAGATATATAAATATATAATAAGGGGATTTGATTTCAATGCATCCCACAAAGAAAATGTAAAAAAAACTGCAAAAATAGCTGGTACCCGATAAGCTGGACATAAGGGCCCAATTGTACACATATTTTTGTACTCAATCACCCATACAATTGCACTTTTACAAATTGTTCAAGTATAGAACTAAAAAAGAAAAGTAATATTATTCTAATACTACTAGAAGCAAAAATCATCTACTCCTTAAAATTATTAACTAGTTATTAAAGAAGAAATATTGTCTCCCTATATTTTCTGCACATATTTTTCTTCTCTTTTTGTTATTCTGAGCATGTTTATTATAACTAGATCAAGGGCATTAAAATAAAATTCTTAATAATGCAAATCAGTCTAGTTTTATACTCCTTGTTCTTAAAAGGACTCCATCCCTTTTCGCAAACTTGTTTCATGGGAAAGTACTTTTTTTTAAGAAAAATAATAAATAAGTACTTTGATAAAAATAAGTAATTTAAAGAATAATAAATAAGCAGTTTATTTATGAAATAATTAGTTTTAATTCTACCCGAAATGACTTGCATGTTACGATTATTGTGTTTTGACCTAAGTTATGGTCTACCTTTTCAAATTGACAACTCATTCATCAATACTTCATAATAGTTCAAATATGGTTGCACAATGAAGTAATGAGTTGAATTGAAATAATAATAGATTGTAACACTTCACTAGGATTTTTTTAAAGCCAAAACAGAATTACTATGTCTACAATAGCTGAGCAATATCTTTTCTAACTCTTTACAGCTAACACTGCTATTGTTAAAATCACCTCAAACCCATTCATTTACAACTTTATATACATTTTACAATTAAACAAGTAAACATATAGGGGTAATGAATTTGAGTTTTGCAGTGTTGAATGTAAAATGCAGTATGTAAAATGTAAGCTTACCAAAATTATTACTAGGATAGTTTTGCTTATTAAATAAATAAAAAATAAAGGTGAGAAACGCCTGAAATGCTTACTTATGATTAAGCGTTTATGAAAAGCTCAGAAACTATCCTCCTTAACCAAGAAATTAATAAGTTTCAATGTTAGTAGCACTAACAAAATTGAAATAGACCTTGAGTTTTGAAAATTTATAGTATAATGTTTTTATGCAAAAAAGATGTTTAGATGCATCAAACATTTCTGGCAACATCAATATTAAAAAATTTTCAGTTTTTTTTCTTCACTATCTTAAAAATGCTATTTTTGAAAAAAAATCCTTAATGAATGAATGAAATTGAGATTTTTAATGAAAGGCTATCTCACATGAATTTTGATATCGATTATAGGTGTATTCAATAAGGTTCAGACATAGTCAAACTTTATTTTATATGTTCTTTTCCAGATGGTGCACAAGCAAACAGTAGAATGAAAACGGAAATATATCGCTAAGGGCGTAGTAATGTGAGTAATAATAGTCCATACCCAAAAACCATAAAACTGGAGCTGTATTGGATTTGAATCAGACCTTTGTGCTTGCAAAGTATTCATGCTCCAAGTGGCAATATTGCAAACTAAAAGAAAGGTAACCAATTCTCGCCCAGGCATACGCCGCACCTGATCTGTAGTTGTAGCTGAACAATGAAATGCATCCAATATGAAAATAGTTTGCAATGTTGCTTGAGTTATACAAGCTAAGGAAGTAACCAGAACAAGCAATGTATTCTGGTCGGTGGTGAAATAACTCCCAATAATACTGAACATAGTAAAAAGATATAACCCACTTTGAGAAACAATTAAGAGTATACGATCTAGTTCTGTGTCCAGTTGTGCGCTATATTTTAATTCTCGAGTTTGTAGCAAGGCTATACACACAGCTACTGAAGTTAAAAGATACAAACCAAGCTCAGTAACTTTAGCTTCCATTATAGCAAACATTTTATAATCAGATTTATTTATGAAGACAAAAAATAAAATAATACTTATGATTGAAAGCACAAGAACTAAAATGCCAGAAAATAGTCCTTTGTTTGATTTTGTGCAATAAACTTGATTATATTGTCGCTGCAGTGCACTGTAAGATGAATGGTGACTTGCAGTCATGTTGCTTTTGGTAGATTTTTGCTGCTTCCCAATGTTTTTCCACATGATGTATAAAATTGCTGAACATATTAAACTATACTGAATTGTACAAGGAAACAAAAAGTGACTTGCTTCTTGCACAAGCTCTCCCATTATATTAGATCGCCTGCACTCGAGGATAACTGAAGCAATATCTTCCCGAACTGAACGATTTCCTCTGGTACTGTTTGAAACCTCTTCAAATACATAGTCGGTAAAATTTTCTTCATTAGCAACTGTAAATGATAAAAAATTATTTTTAAAATCAATAAAGTATATTTGAAAAAAAGATCAGAATAAGTAAATACAATAAAAAAGAACTTAAGTAAGATCAGAATGAGTAAATAATTAAATACATAGGCATTTCATACCTTCTGCAATCATATTTAGTGGAACTGAAAATGTCAGTGGTAATGTAAAATTGACATTGATTACATTTAAAATTCCATGTTTAGTCTCCTGTACAAGAACATGCAACCAAATACAAAGGTTAGTCGCAACCATATGCATTAATCCAAATCTTGCAAGACTCTTGTATTTTCGAATACAAACCTAAAAAAATTATAAAACAGTTATACATTTAAGTTATATAATTAGTATATATTGGTTGCAAACCTTCTATTATAATTTAATTTTATTACAATACAATTACATAATACTTCTAAACTTTCTCTACTGAACTAAGAATAAGAAAAGTTAATAAACATCAAGATATTATAGTTTGTGTTTGGTGAGTGATTTCTTTACTCAATTTTCATTGATACCTTTTATAATTCATCATATAAATTAAAATGATAAATCTGAAGCAGACTTTGTTTGTTTAAGAATAACTGTGCCATAACTCATTATATATTCCCAACATGCATTTATAACATAATCAATACAAAACCTTTATATTAATGATTCTTAAAAAGTTATAAATTTGTGATTTTTATTTGATACGTATATAAATATGGTTTATAATTTAATTATAAACAGAGTATGAATTGGAAGCCATAAGTCTATGGTATTTGATTAATGATATTTGTTAAAATAAGTGTTTTCAAATACAATTTACATTTTATAAAATAATATAATCTTAAAAAAAATAAAATTATTAAAAAACTATTTTGACATTTTTATGACAATACTGTTACAATTGACAAAAATTTATATGAAAGATCTTCTTTCTATGTTAATGGCCATAAATCAATGCTCGTGAACTTCGACCTTTCATCAAAGTTTTTTGAAAAAATAAGGACCTTCTAAATTTTAAAAATGTATAACTTTGCAAATTTAGATAATACTAAAGAGACCATGAAAAAAAAAAATTTACTATGTAGAAAATTGTTTAAAAAAATTAATTTTTTTTTAACATAAAAACATTTTTTAAACAATTAAAGAATGTTAAACAATTAATTAAAGAAAGTAAGAATGAAAAGGACTTTAAGGAATTGAAGAGTTTGATGTTTATTTTTATTAAAAATGGCATATTCAGTGCAGACAAGCAAATTGCCAATGTCTTGAAAGTGTATATTTGCCAATACAAAATTAACACATACCTCTGAATTCAAAAAGATAAAATACATTTGAATGAATGTAAAAGCCATTCTAGTAAGTGGACTGATTCCATACAGCACGTTATAGCAACTGGATCCAGGTTGTAACTCTAAAAATTGACCAAATTCTAGCCCAGAATATATCATACTCGCAATACCAAATGCTACACAAAGAAAAAAAATACTTAGGTTACCATCTATAATACCATAATAATCTACAAATTAATTGTGTGATCAAAAAAATATTAGTAATGAAATATGAAATTTTCATATAGACAATGCTTGATAGATCACCACTTGTCATTCAGATCAAAATAGACATAATAATGTTCAGCCACTATATTGAAAGAAAAAAAAATTGAAATATTTTTTTCATAACTTATAAATGCTGGACTAATTTTGACACACCATGCCATATTCAAACAAATTAGGAAACTGAGAAAATGATTCATAAATAATGTAGCCTGTTTTTTTTTTTTTAAGCTAAAATTGTATTTATTATCCTATATTTCTTTTTACCACTTCAAATACCCTTTACTGATTACTTTAAAAGGATATGAAGAGAATTTGCTGAGGAATTTTAAAACGTTTTTATAAAATCCTTTTATAAAGATGCCTAAGTAATTCAAGAGTCACTTAGCATATTTGCATTTAAATTTTAATACTAACTCTAGAAATATAGTGAGAATCTCATATAAGGATTTTTTTTTTCTTTTCAATGAAGGCAGAACTTTTCAAAGGAACTTAGTTTAGGAAAATAATTTTGAAGGGGCCAGAATCTATTCTGACCATCTTTCCTGGCATTACCCCTTAATATAGTCTTTATTTGATGTTGACTAATTTTCCCAATTGAAGAAATAACATACTTCCAAGAATTGCATTTATAAATGCAATGTCAAAGTAATATTCTCGAAGAGTTGTCCCAAAATGAATAATTTCATGCTTTAAATTGATTTTAAAATTAATTTTTAAAAAATATAGCTGACATTAACGAAATTATGTAAACAGCATAGCCTATATTAAGGCTTCCATATTTCGATAATTTTTTATGAAGCCCCAGAAATGGTTAAGATTTTAAATTCATTAAAGTCAAAAAGGAACTTTATAAATAAAATTTTCGATTAAAAAGAAATAGTGTTTCAAATTAATACAAGTGGGATAAAAGAATTGCTTTAAAAATTAGCTTAAAAGTGCTGGGGTTTCTTCAACTTTTTTAGGAACTGTTCTGAAAATGCATCATAAGTTATAAGTTTAAGTTGAAGAATTATGTTTTACATTGACATAAATTAACAATAAAATTTATGCACAGAATATTATGGATTATGGAAAAATTATGGATTTTAATTTTCAACATAATTTTATGCCATTTAATATTAACGTAAATATCATTAAAAGATACAATTTTATTTTATCAAGAAGTTAAAAATATATGTATACTTACCAACAGCTCCTAATCTCAAGTAAAAGTGTTTCGATTCCTTATTTTCTGACAGTTTATTCATTTTCGATGTTTGATTTAGACTTTTAAGGCTGTTGGGATTGCTGTTGGTTTCTTCAACTGATTGAGATATTGAATTCGAAGATATTGTTATGGAACTGAAGCAAAACAGAGACTTTATTTTGCAACATCTTTCACTATGTAGAGTGAAACAGTACATGAAAATTAAGAAAGCGATGCTCCCTCCATATAAATACAAGTAAAATCCCTGAAAATAAATAAACTTATTTTAGATCATTTTGCAAGTCATTTTCAGTTCATTTTGCATGACATTGGACAGTTTACAGAGAAATAGAGAAATTAAAAAAAAATGGCATCTCAGTTACAATATCTAAATTTCTAGATGTTTCTCATGCAAAAAGTTAAAGAATAACAATTTAAATTTATTAATAAGTGACAGTGTATAAGGAAAAGTAATATCCTATACAACTTTGGCAAATATATATTTTTTTTATATATATTTTTTTTATATAAGTTTCTTGACTTTTGCATGATTTACATACAAATAATTTTTTATTATCTAACCAAAAAATTATTTGATTTTGAAAAAAAAATCAATTTTAAAGCAATCTAAAACAAATCGACCCAATTTTAGAATACTTTTCAAAAAAAAATTTTTTTTTTTAAACTGCTTGCTATGTAATTTAATAGTTAACTTCTTAAGTTCTAAATTATTGCTTGCATTGTTAGTTATTTTCCATTCTAATAAAATGAAGCCTTTATATTTATGTTCTAGAATATAATTTTTTTAAAAAATAATCTGTAGTAAAAAGTTTATTAAAAATAAAAGATGATAAAAGTGGAATAAAAAAATTAAAATTCATGACAAGAAGAGACTCTTAGCATAACAAATAAGAATATAGTATTTTACCTGTTAAGATGCCAATACTTATTTTTTCCTTTAGGATTTTAAGCATATGTCTCAGTTATGAATTAAATGATGATTTGATAGTTTTCAAAGTAATATTTCTCTTAAAAATTACCAAATAAAGTAATTGTTATTATTATTACTATGAGGCTTTTTCTGAAAAAACATTCTGTGATAAATAGGAATCCTAAAGTCCTACAGGCGATAGTCAAAAAACCTTATGGCTTCATTGTCATTTTTTCCCTTTAAAAAATGTTGCATAGTTTGACAGTAAATTTCTTAATCCAAAACATTTAACAGTGTTTTTTATTTACACATATTTTATTCACACCATTTTTACTTTCTTACATGAATACAGATTTAGAAATTAAACTAACCTCATAGTAGGTGACTGGGATTCTTTTGGATATAACTTCGGCAACGGGAAAACAAATACCCATGACAATAAGAAGTTTGGCATAAATTCCACTTAACATGAGCAGGAAAGAGTCACTATAAAAAAAATCAAAATTATTGCTTTTCATGAGAAAGAGAAACAGTTAAAAATCATACTATGAAAAATTTTTATGTTAAAGTGCAAAACATTTTTAATACTAAGAAAGATACAGCGAATAAGACCAGCAACATTTGGGTAAAAATTTTAAGAAGCAAATAACAGAACAGCATTAACAGAATTGTTTTCAAGGATTTAAAATTCTTATTACGAAGGAGCTATAAATGCATGGATTTAATCTGAAATTTATATCTATAATCGGGGGTACAAAAGCCTGGCCATCCAAAGACCCTAAATTTGTTAAAGCTTCTGCAGGATCTAAAAAATTTAAGGGAATTAAATAATAATTAATAACTCTTAATAAGTAAAATAGGACCCAAAAGAAGTAAATCTTTTTTAAACAGTATTTTGGTTTACTTAATTTACAAATCAAAATGATATTTTGAGAATATATACCGCCTCTGCCTAAATGAGTTGCATTAGCCATCAGCCACTGCATCATAATGCATACTATCAGAAAAATATTAAAGAAATAAATGCATAAACAAAGATTATCACCTTGTATACTTTCTAGATCCGTGTTGAACTAGAATATATTTTGTAAAGCCAACTGGTCCTATACTGGAATCACCAGAGTTGTGTTGTGCTACAGGAGGATAACAGTTGCCAGGATCAGGTATTCTGTGATTGATAATCACTTTCTGAATCTCTGTCACCAGTGGAGACACTCCTATTGATTACAAAAATTGTCATGAATTTCTTATAAATATTATTTTCTACAACAAGGACTAATCTTTTAAAACTTTTTACTAAAACAATAAACAGTACTAAGACAAATCTCAGTAATTTTTATATTTATCAATAACAGTAGAGGGAAAAAAACAGGTTGTTTTGTAAAGACCACCCATAATTATTTTTAAAATTCCTATTAAAAATGAAAAAAAAAAAAGTACACGTTGGAGGTCTCAAATTAATATTTAAAAAAGGAAAAAACAAAAATGCATCAAACTCTGACAAATCACAGTTCAGGAAGGCACACATAATTAACACAAAACAGGCATGATTGGAGGTTTAAAATTTAAGGTGTTTCTAATAGTCTATCAATTATTTTCTGTCCCTTCCCACAATCAAACCAGCCTTGTTTTTTTTTTTAATTTGCTTTTCTGCACTGTAATTTGTCTTATATCAATAGCGTTTTTGTTTTTTCCTGGTAAATAATTTGTTTTCATTTTTGATAGGCAACTTAAGAATACATATTAATTTCTGTCTTTACAGAACACCTAGTATAATGATAAAATAGTTACCCTTTAAAATAAATTTAAAATTGGACACTACATACCAATGAATTTGACCTCTCAATTTCAAAAATTTTGACCACTAAAGGTATTTTTCTGGATTTTCTTAATTATTTTAAGTCAAGTATATAAGTTTGTCATTTTAAATGCCCAGTTTTAGTGAAAAAGTTTTAAAAATTTGATATAGTAAATTTAAAAAAATGAATTTAAAATAAAATTTCAAATAGGTATCCTAGCTAAACTACTGGGATCATTTTCCCTAGATTGTGACTGTTTTTCATATTTTAATGGTCTATAATCAAAATTCCTCAACAAATAATAATAATAATAATATTTAAATATTTCTTCTATTTTTTTTTTAAATATTTCTCAGGTTTCATATTTAATTTTTTAAGGTTCTTTTGTCTACTAAATAAAGCCGTTATTCTATTATTCTATTTTTAAAATGTTTGCTAGTCATAAACAGTTATTCATAACTCTAAGAGCTCTTTATGCTAATAAAAATGGTGCAAAATTCCAATTCCTTCTCCATGAATACACTGTTTAAGTTAATAAAAATATGAAAATGTTGGATATTTCAAATTAATTTTAATGATTTTCATTTGGTTGAAAAAAATCATGTTAAATTGGAAGCTTATAAAATAAGGTTAATCAGTATTAAAATATTTGTCTGCTTTTAAATCCATTAAGATTCAATTAGATAATATTTTATATAATTTTGCACAAAATTAAATTTTTACTTGGAGTTTAAGGCATTTAATTTGTGGCCTTTAAATTTTCCTTGATGAAAGAGCATGAAATTACCCATAACACTTTGGTTCAACTTAATAGTTTTAAATTTATTACCTGATTAAATGATATTTTGGGAAATAGAAAAATAATGAAAATTCCTATAAAAAAAGTGTATCCAGAGAAATATATTAAAGAAGCAAATTGTAAAAAAAATAATAATAATAACAACAACAACAATAATAATAATAATAAAATTAAATTTTTACTTTAAAATACTTTGAACAAGTTTTTCTAAATTTTTCATCATACCATCAATTTAATACTAAAAATTCATGCTTACCGGTGAACATTTTTAATTTATTAATGTCTATGAATAACATAATGAATAGTTTAAAATATCTTATGAATTCTTTTCAAATTCCATTAATAATTGTTGAAAATTAGGGAATAATTATTACTCAAATTATTTTATGAAAATTATTTTAAAAAATGGTAGTTTTAGAGTTTGTTATATTATAATAGGTAGAGAAGGACAATCTGTCACAAAAATGATCTTTTTAATTTTAAACAAAGTAACACATACTTTGCCAGGATCATAAGTAAAAATTTATAACACCAGTTAAATTTATTTTCATTATTGTACACTTTTAGTATTTTAAACTTCTTTTGGTACAAATTTATGCGACTTATACTTACTAATAAGTAATATGAAGTGCAGTTTGTTTCAGTTGATATATTCTAAGAATTGGACTTTGGAATGTCAGAACCTTGTCATGATCAGCACAGCCTCCCTTGCATATTAAAATATTACTCTTTGTAAATTATATAATTTGAAGAGTCCATAAGCATTTGCTTCAATAATGAGAAAAGAAAGTATGGCCAAAATTACATGAATATGGTAAATTAAATCATGATCTCTCTGAAAACACCAAAAAGCTCACTAATTTTTACCAAAGAGCTTTGATACTGATTTTAATAAAATTAACAGCAAAATATGGTTTTATGATAAAATGTAGTAATTTTGTTATGATAGCTTAGAACATTGCATTAAACCCATTTATTCGTCTAAATTTGCTTTCCAGTTTTGCATTTTGTACTATAGATAAATTATAATTTTGAAAGTCAGAATTTCCATCAAACCATTACCATATGAAAGGAAAAATTACCAAATGAATGGCTCATATACCATACCATACCATATATTTCGGTTTTATTAAATTATTTTTACTTATTTCTTTTAACCAGAAATTACTATAGAATAGGGTAATTTTACCATAATTTATACCATATAGAAACCACTAATTACCTTGTTTCTTCATCAGGTTTTCTTGTTCAGGATTCTTCATTTGATTCGAATTAAATGCTGTTCCATTTTCTTCAATTTTCACTTCTGCTTCAACTAATGTTTGTGATTCTCCTGATTCTGGCGGATCCATGCTTTCCCACCTAAAAATAATACCATGAATTAAACATGTTATTCCAGTAAGTGACAATAAACATTCTTTTTTCTCTATATATATGTAGTAGGAAGATACGCTCTCTGCTGGCTACCGCTCACCGACCTCTTCAACTTCCTCTGCTTACGTAGCGGCAGTTACGTACGTTACGTCAGATTGCTTTGCGTCTGAAACTACCATGGAAATACAAAAATGCAAACGTGGAAAAATATTTCTAAAGTTGTGCATGCATTTTTATTAAATTTATATTAAACTAACTAGTTAAAAACTATTTACCGGTGTTGGGACTATTCGCGAAAATTCGTCGCTAGAAAACTAACTACAAAGAAAAAAAAATCTACAAAACGAACTTTATTGACTCTCAAAACATGCGACGGACTTGAGCAGATTGAAATAATTAAATTATTATTTTAACCAAACCAGGAAAATTATTATTTTAACCAATCACACACCTTCTGAGAGGATATAAAGGTGAAAAGTTCTTAATCACGAACAGTTACAGCAAAAAAAGGAGACTTTAGAGGATTCTCCAATTAAATTTCTAAAAAGGACAGAAAGAAATTAAAAAGTATCGTTCCTTTTGTTGATTTTTCTTTCACATAATTTTCACACTTAATTTTTACCTTTTCCAGATTTAAGCGCCCTTTATCTCCCCCTGATCACCCGCTCATAAAAAATATTTCGACAAACTTTTTGGTTATAAGAGTGTGAGGGAGGGGGTTCAGGAAGATCTCCTACAAAGAATCCTCACCTCCGAACCTTGTTGAAAGAGCTTTGCACCTGTCTTATCGTACTTTTTTAGACAAAATTGTGACTTTTAACTTTTTTAAAAATTTGTTTCGAATATGAAAAGAAAAACATGGAAGATGGAAAATGTAGAAAATAAGTAAAATAATTCCGAATAAAAAACATTCGTTTTAATGATTTTTCGAACAATTTAAGGGGTTATATCTCTCAAAATTCCCCATATTGCTTCAAATATTCGTACTTTAAAGCTCTTTAAACAATCGAAATTTAACGGTTAAAATAATCATTTCCCTCCCTTGATGAGACGCCAAAACTTCAGCAAGAAAGTTTGGAAGTTTCACTGTACTAGGCGTTCGTGACCTCTCCATTTCCACTCGCTTTTAGCCAAAATTGTGACTAAATATTTATATTATTTAAAAGTACTAAGAAATGAAAAGATTGAAGCTGGAATACGTAGAAAATAAATTAAAAATTTGCGGAAAAAAAGGGGAAAAGCAATAATTTTGAACGACTTTTGTTTGCAATTGAGGGGGCTATTCCCTCCAAAAAACACCCTCCTAACTAAAATTTAATGGTTAATTAAGCCATCATTTATTCAACCTCTGAATCAAACTCATAGCCATAAAATTGTCAAGAAGTTAATAAAACTAGAGCAGGGGAGGCGTTTCCAGAAAACGGTGGGAGAAACGGGAGTCATTTTCAAGTCATTTTACCTTTATATTCATGTCATATTCGTGTCATTTTACATGAGAATCAGCTGAAGTAGTGTCGTCATGGTTCGATTTTTTTTAATTTTTTATTTTACTTCATTTTATTTATTTTTTCTGAAGCTTAGTTTAATTGAAAATTCATTCAATTGCACATCATCGAAAGGTCTTGCGTTGAACTAAACATGACCAAACTTTTCCTTTGCAAAATTTATGCTCAAAATATAGAAGACGTTTATAAAAATTTTAAAAATATCACAAAAATGAGTTCTGCTTCTTTAAATTTTAGCCCCTGGCGAAGCACTAAGTTACTTGGGGGCCTAAAGCTGCAGACCCTACCTGAGATAATGGTTTTAATAATACGTTCGCGTTAAAATGTCTAAAATATTTCTCTAGCCTAAACATTGGGCTATGAGGCAAATATTAGTGACTGACTATTATTATGTTGCAAGTTAAGGAAAAAACCATTATTTCTCTAGAGAGAGCCTGTTTTCAACAAAAAGCATACCAAGTCAAAGACTGGATCCCAGCGCTAATGCGTATTAACGTAAGCGACGTTACGTTCTTAACTCTTGAAATGACGTTGTGCAGTAACCTCCAAAATAATACTAAAACCTAACCTGCTCTATATACCCATGTTTGAAATCGAAAATAAAAATGAAAAGAAATTTGTGTTTAATTATGAAATTGGAGGATTGTATCATATTTAAATTTGTATAAGTATTATTTTTGAATTTTTCTGAAAAAGATCTAAAATTAAATTAAATTAGATCTTCGTTTTTTAACTGTGAACAAACGGTATGGTTGTGAATTATATTGATGCCAAAAGAGGAAAAAAATAGATATAGAAATAAGTAAAATTTTAATTATTTAAGGAAAATAATTGTTAACTTTTATATATAATTTTAAATGCATATTTTGAAATTGATGCATTATAATTGAATTATGAAAATCATTAAATTATTTACGATGTTGAAAAAGTAATTATAGATAATAGTAAATTATATATTTTATGCGAATTCCACAGTTCGAAAAATTCTAAATAAAAATAATGCATAAAAATTTAACTTACCATTAAATTATTTATATTCTCAAATCACACCTGGATTATTAGCGAAGCTAATATATAATCCAAAAGCATGAAGCACTTATATGTTTATTTTATTTTCTCTTTTGAGTCTAAGCATTTATTAAATGTATTTTTACTCTGTCTGGTTTACCGAAACGATATGAATAAACTTTTTGGCATACTTGATCTAAGTAATATTCGTAATAACAATTTAAACGGTAATAAGCGAAAAACAATTCTAAACATCAATAATTAACAAATGAAAGTTATTAATGATAACCATTAATAAACATCCAATAAAAATGAGTTCTAAAAACTATAACAATTTATTGACGTTACTTTTTGACTGCTGTAAGAATAAAAAATATTTATTGCAGACGATTTTCTTTAACAACAAAATAATGGTAGAAACAAACATTTAACTTATAAATATGATATGAGAAACGGAATCAATGAGCGTCTTTAAAGTGTGACGTCACGTATCCAAACAACAAGAAGTGAAAGCTACGTTTCCCATAGTTTTAAATTGATCTACGTTTGATTTTATATTAAAAATGAATTATCACATTTATAAAAAGAAGTTATATAGTAAGAAAAGTTTAATGACTCCAATAGAACAATTTTTTTTTCAAGTGATGAAAGTGTTTTTTTCACAGAAAAAAAAAATCTTTTAATACAGATAATTTCGAAATTTTTCAAATAACTTCGAATGTTTCCGACACTATTTAATAATTTAAAAATTCGAAAATTTCGAAATTTTATACCTTTTTCGAAATTTTATACCTGAAAAGCTGCTTGACTGATTTTGTTCAAATTCATTTTTTTCTTTTTTTTTAAATTACATAGTTTAAAATGATGTAAAAACTTATATACCTTAGAATTCAAATTTTTTCAACTAATATCAAATAAAATAATAAACAATAAATTTTTGAAATTTATTTTCAACATGGAATTAATTATTTCGGACAAACGAATTTAATAATTGTGAGTTAAAAGCTTTATATTCACTTTAAAAGTTTCCGTAACATGGCGAATTACGCAAAAAGTGAAATTAAAATCAGAAGATTAAATTAAAATCAAAAGGTTAAATTTCCGACCGGTCAATTCTTCTGGCTTAACTATCGGGATCATATTTTCCAGCTTGCGGCTACCTCCAATTTAAGGGTCAAAAAGCTAAATCGTCGAAAATAAGGTATATTTATTCAAAGTACATATTTTTGCTTGATTCTGTAACCCAATTATTTATTAGCACTAATTAGTTAGTATATTAAGGAGCAACCCTTTATATTGGCACTTAGTTCGTGAAAATTCGATCATTGGAACATCAAAGTAATTCAGATCTTTTTTTTTTTTTATCCTAAACTCTACTTTTTTTTCCAAAATGCTAATGAATATTCTATAATTAAAAAAGTAAGTTAAAGTCTTCATCTTAATCCATCCTCACATAACCTCGATTTTTCTCAGAACTTCCAGAGCTTCTCGTAATTCAATACTCACAGGATGTCGCACAGAGTTGAAGGGGAAGAGAATACTTTAATGGAAGTTCTCGGAAATGGATAAAGTAACATCCATGTCTTTTTCTATGTTTTTGAAAGAAAAAAAATTATTATTGTCCCTGAAATGGGAAGAAAAGAGATTAAGTCGATTTTATTTCAATGCCACTCTTCATGCTCATATTTCCTTGCCATAAAGTATAACTCACTTTTATTATTCTTTTTTTTTCTAACTTATCTTTAATTAGGCCTTTCTTTTTTTACTAAGAAATATTTTTCCATCCTTTTTATTTGAATATATTTTGGTAAAACTAAGCATTACATTTTTTATAAAAAATTTTAGGACGCCACTGGTAAATAAGTCAAACAGTTTAAAAAAAATAATAATCATGAAAAACTCAAAGGACACCGCGAATTCTCATGGAAAAGTGATCCACATATACTTTTATTTGCTCTCTTTCTTTTTTTTTCTTCTTCTTTTTTTTAACAATGATCTTCTGAATTTTTGAATGATTTCCAAAAAATTGAAAATGAATACATTATTAAGATATATAAGCAATAGAAATTTAAAATGTTTTAGAAGATGGAAGAATTGAACCACGCACGATGGGAAATAAAACAAACTGATTTTGTTTTATTAGGAATGGAAAATTCTTAGAGGACATAAATTTAAGAAATGAATGGATTTTAAGCAATAATGACAAGAATTTGAAATACAAACTAAATATCATTTTTGTTCAAGTTTTTCAATGATTTTCAAAAAGCGGCATTTTTTAGGAAATTTAACAATAAAAATTTAAAATATTTTAAAAAAATGAATTGAACAATTGATCAATGAATTGCATAAGGATGGGAAAAGAGTTCAACTGTCCCAAGTACTCTCTAGGAAACATCCAATCGGCGATTAAGGTAAAATCTTTCAAAATTACCAAAATCTTGTAAATTTGACTTCTTCAAACAGCAAAAATGTATC